TGCATGCTGGATCGAATCGGGATTCAATGCATCAAATTGAAATTTCAATGCATCGCACTCGCTGCACACCACTACCTATCACTATCATTACGCCCAGTGTCAGCTGTCGCTGTCAGTGAAATGGTTGACGTAAGCGATGTCTAGGTTGCCGATTATTATTAGGCCTAGTATGTCAATATTGAAAGGGGTTAAGGGATTAAATAAAACTCAAACATTTTCCTTTCTTGTTATTAACTTGTCAAATATTAACAAAATCGGCTTAACCTCTACTACTCGACTCGAGTTGCGAGTATATTTAACTAAGTAGGCAAACAGCTAGGATTCGTAACGGCAACGGCAATTTACCCGCTCTAAACTGACTTAATCCGCCCGCACCGATTCGTAGCATTCAGTGGTTCAGTGTCAGTATCGGTATCGAACCCAAAACAGGCAAGTATCGAGTATCGACGATACCTCGATTTTGGTATAGAGTATCGGTATCGGCCCACCTCTACAGGTAACACATAAGTACATATGTGTTACAACTGTGAACTGTGTTACAACTAACCAAGGCCCCACAAGAAAAACAGGCCATGCTGCAGGATCCATGACGTTACACTAGTGGATAGATTTCATTGATAAATTCATTGCCATCACCATTCCCATATGTTTTAGGTAAATAAACAAGCTGGCTGTTTGTAAGATTTTAATGGTAAGAGTTTAGTACAACTATCCACCACTGTGACGCAATGTTGCGCTGCCCGTGCTGCAGCATGGCCTGTTTTTTCTAGTGGGGCCTTGCAACCAGCAAAAACAGAATAAAAACAGAAGGGCCACTCGAGACGAAAGCTGTCGCCACTTTTACACCGCTGCCGCCACCAAGGTGGCGTCCGCTCTGGATGAGTCACTGTAGTGGTGCGCGCACACCGTACCGTATTCATTGGCATAGTCGCACACACCCTGCTTGTTTTATGTTTTACTTTATACTGTACGTCTTGCAAATGCCTCAAAACAGGAGAGAACTGTTTTGAAATGGAATCTGAACATAGCCATATTTATATTATACTTCTTTTAATAAAATCTGTTTGTAAAAGATACTTCAATGTAAGATTGCACCGCCATTCAAATCTCAAAACTAAAAGAAGAGAGGTTTTAATCGGTTTAATAGTAAGGCTGTAAGTTTGTGTATAAAGCTAACATATTTTTCAAGCTTCTAAAATAAGCTACGCAATACAGTAATAAACCATTATTTAAAAATAAATACACGTCGGTAACGACCAAACTTTGTATTTCCATGATCTCATTTTTATGCATGAAGTTGCAATACTCCATTTACGATTCACATGCCTGTATCACATGAAAATTTATGTTTTTTTAGTTTATGTTTACTATTATAAATTTTATTTTATTTACGTATATTTAGTTTGCAGCGCTCAACACCTGGTCCTCGCCGCACCGTAGGACGGATATTACTCACTCTTCAACTTAATTTATTTTGATTACCAAAGATCGTAAAATTTCCCCAAAAACATATGTTAAGGTTTAACTCATGCTCTCAAACTTTTCCACAGACAAAACTTTCCTGACCAAAAAATAAAAAACTTCCTCACTGAGTAACTTTTTCATGTCACGATTTAAAAATTACTGCAAACGGTCAACTTCAATTAGGTAATAAGATTGCATTGAAGTTAAAATTAATACTTTTAATTACACCATTAGCATCCACAATTAATATAGTTTAATTGTGCTGAGTTTCAAAATGTCAAACAGCGGTGTTAATGAAAAGCGCGCACTACAAAATTCTCCGTTTCTAAGCGCTACTTTCAACCTGATGCCGCCCCAAAGATGGTGGAACTGGTGACAATCCTAGTAATGGTTGTATATAGCGCATGGCCCTTCTATTTTTATTCTGTGTTCGCTGCTTGCAACTAACCAACCACCTTTGTTTAGTTGTAACAAGGGATCTTTTAATATCTGCTTTGTTGGGTAATTAATGAGAAATTTCAAATATTAAAGTTCAGAGCCAGTAATTAATAAGGTCATAAATACTGAACATAGAAAGTATTTAACGTAAAGGCAATAACAACAATTGAATAGTAAATTTACAGATCAAATTGTTGGGCTCGTTCCTTTGACAATAGGAGTATTTGTATAATATTGTAAAGACACGATTAGTAAAAAAATGTTTTGAATGTTATTGCTATTCTGTATAGCCTATGTTTTAAAATTCATATCACCACACATAAGAGAAAAGGGGTTGGTTAATAATACTAAACTGAACTTCTAAGAATATGTATTAATGTTCACAATGGTGCTTAAATACATTACATGTTGTGAAAGAAAAACCAAAACCAATTTCTTAAATCTCTGTCTTACACATAACTTATTGTTATTACATTCATTCATAATGTTTAACGTAAAGGCAATAACAACAATTGAATAGTAAATTTACAGATCAAATTGTTGGGCTCGTTCCTTTGACAATAGGAGTATTTGTATAATGTTGTAAAGACACGATTAGTAAAAAAATGTTTTGAATGTTATTGCTATTCTGTATAGCCTATGTTTTAAAATTCATATCATCACACATAAGAGAAAAGGGGTTGGTTAATAATACTAAACTGAACTTCTAAGAATATGTATTAATGTTCACAATGGTGCTTAAATACATTACATGTTGTGAAAGAAAAACCAAAACCAATTTCTTAAATCTCTGTCTTACACATAACTTATTTTTATTACATTCATTGATAATGTTTCTTGCATTGGAGAAACAAACGGTTTTATAAAATAGTGTCACTATCAGTTTCATTAGTTTCAAAGCGTGACTTTCGTCAGAAATGTCATTGCTTGAAACATGGTTTGTAAGCAAATTTCCTTGAAATTTCATGCATGCTGATAAAATGCATCTACGAGAACAAAACTTAGGCGTATCTTTATTTTGCAAGAACAAAATATACAAATACTTAACAAACCTAAAAACTTCCTTGGTAACATAAATCAATTTACCATTTGATACAAAAGAAGTGAACTTTGAAAAACTTGAATTAATCGCAGAACTGTCATAGAGTAAGTTAGAACATTCTTCACAGTTAACCTCTATATCTACCTTTCGCACAACAAAGCCACAAATGTTGCGCTATAAATCACTCTACTTCAAACAAACTGCACACTTAATTGTAAATTGTTCGATCACATGTTAAAAATCATCTCTTCAACTACAACTTTGTCGCTTAAAGTTTTTTTCTGGCCCAAAAATAAAATACTTCCTCGCATACTAACTTTTTCATGTCACAATGAAGAAATTTTTACTCTTTTTATGGAAATTTTATTTCAAATCAAAAGTAAAAATTATTTATTCCATTACATTCTGAATTTGATGCAAATTACGAATATATAAACATTATTGTACTTAATCTTTGTTATTGAAGGCTAGGAGTGAGTTAACAACTTCACTATTCGATGAATTGGCTAAAATCCGTTGGGTCCCCCATGGTGGTGGAGGAAGGAGTTTAAGTTTAGAGAGAAAATACAAAGAATAAATAGGTCTTACATAAAGATGATTTAGGATAATATTGTTGTTTTTTAGCTAATTTCCCATAAAGGGAATAAGCTATTACCGTAGTACTCATGGTAAGACCTGGACCGATTTAATTTTTCATTTTGAGGTCCCTAGAGGCCAAAAACACCATCCGTTCAAACTCATATGTATATATGTGTCCGTTAGCGCGATAACTCAAGCAAAAATGATCCAATTTTGATGAAATTTGGTACAAACGTGTAAACCTATGTTTATTCAAACGAGTTTGCGATCCAGCATAATCGGACCATGGGAACAGGGGTTTCTGGGGGGTTTCATGGGGTAAAAATAGGGTTTCCCATTTTTGACCCTAAAAACAAAAAATTTTGCAATTTCTTTTTAAACCGTTTTGTAGAGCTTAAAAAAATAATAATTTAGTATATTGAAGCGCTGTTGTATGCCTAACGGTCACGGAGAAAATTCAAAAATAGTGTAATGTAAAATTCCCATCTTATTCTTGTGGAGAAAATGAAAATTGTTGTTTACTTGTTTATGGATATATATTGATAAAATTTGGCAAATTTATTAATTTCATCCTATAGGTACTATTGATGTATGGTCAAAAAACACTTTTTACCTTCCCCATAGCAGCAAACCTAATCACTCGTTAAATCTAATGTTATTTAAATAGGGAATAAATATGTCTTATTTATAGAAATATTTTAGTAAAAATGTAATCAGACAAGTTGAAATTCGCTTAGTCTGCAGGTTTGCTGCGGCGTAGGTATTTATTTTTTATAACATTGGGATTTGGTTGGCAAGGTCATCGAACTACGGTTAGTAGTATAATTGACTAATAGTCTAAAGTAGTATACACATTATACAACCAATCCAGCCCCAGAAAAACTGTAAAAGATACCGGTAACGGATTGTTCTGAAAATATAAGAGTAGGCCTACATTATAATTAAATTGTAACTTGAAAATGTATCACAATCATTTAAAAACCAATATTAAGTAAGTAAAACAAAACAATACAACGTATCCTCGCACTCACATATAATATATTATAAAAAATATGTATTGTTTCCATTTTAAATACAAATATTGTTGACTTATTTCTATGTATCCTCAGAGCTGTAGCTTTATTTTTGTCCAATTTGAGCCCAGTCGGTTCAGTAGTTTTTAAGTTTAGCTCATACAAACACACAGACACCATCTTTTCTTGATAATAGTAATATAAGGTGGATGTATAGATTTCTCCTCTGTCAATAAATTTGTTTGTTAAGATTGTATACCCTTTTGCCAAATATGCCGCTAAACCTTTAATTTGTATTTTGAATCACTGCAATTCAATATTTGTTTTAGATCAAAAGCACAATCTCATTTACTATCCTTTCAAAGATATCCACTGCTGGTAGTGATTTCAGAATGAAAAAAATAACATTTCTCTTAAAAGTTTCTCCTGTTAAGTCATTGACATTGTTGTTTCTATAATTTTAGCAAAGATGGATGACAGAAATGTCTGAAGGCCTAAATCCATCAGGTGATCTTGATAACGAAAATGGTGGAGAATACATGGCCATCAATCCTCCAACATCTTTTTCCAAGAAGAAAACTCTGAAGACCAGGCGAAAACAAAAGGAAGCCAAGAAAGAAGCTCTAGAAAAACTCAAGCAACGAATTGAAAAGAAAAAAACAGCTGATGTTTATAAGTAGGTCGCAAACAATTCAGCAACTTCCCCACATCTACATTTCAATAACATGCTGATCTATATGCAAGGCAATCGTTTTGAATCACAGAACAGTCATACATTATACTTTAGTAGAGATATTGATGTTGTGATTTCTTCAGGTTTTAGAATGTGCCAGACTAAAAAATGTTTGTTAAGTGTCTGCTAGAATGAAACAATATACAGTATTTTTATCTCAGATTTTATTGTAGTAAAAGTTTGAGCAGTGCCAGATTTAGGGTACTTGTGGACGTAAGCTAAACCAACCCAAGTGTAGGGATTATCTTTCCCGTAATCTTGGCAAAATTATAAACATCTCCCACAAAAAAAAATTACCGCAGCCATGGATTTTATTGAACAAAATTTGTTCTTAAAATATACACTGTGACTCCCTTTTATTTGCGGCTTTTGGACACAGCCTAATCGGCCTAGTGGTAATTCTGGCACTGAATTTGTGGAAAGCCCAAAAAAAATTATCAAATTAATAAGGATTTGGGAGTAAATTACCCATAAAAAAATGTTTGTTATGTTTCCATGTAAAATAGAATAATTTATTTTGATTAAATAAAATTTTCTTTTGGTTCAACCCAGACAGCACACTTTCTCCTCAGGACATCCCACAGATATTGCGACAGGATATGCAAGATATCCCATAGTGGTCCTATGGTCAACCTGGGATATCCCAGGATATCCACAGGAATGCGTAATGTCCCCGCCCGGGGATGTCCTACGGATAAGCTCACACGTATATCCGTGGGATATCCGAGGTCATCCCAGGGTAGTCCTCAGGACATTCTCAGGACATATGGGACTACTATGGGATGTCCCTGGGATAAAGTGTGGTCTGGGCCTGAACATATAAAACACAAAATAATATAGATTTAGTATGAAAAGCTTAATTATAAGTTTAGTAAATTGATTAAATAGTTAATAAACACAAATTTTGAAGAAAAAACGAGAAAAAGGTTTTTGGCCCAGACGGGTTTTGAACCTGGTACCTTCGCCTTATGAGCCTCTTACCTTACCTCCTAAACTATATGCGCTTGATGATTATGGGTGTTTTCAAGTGGTTTAAGAAAGAGTAGCCGACAGTTGCAATGGTCGCAATACTTAAAATATTTTTGATACTACAGTATAGGCTATATATGATTCTGTTAATCTGTTTAGGCCTCAAGTAGTTGAATTGTTTTTCTGGTAGTTGGAGGGGATACTGGTATTTGAATATAGATTATTTAATCACCATTAGATTAGCACTGTTATAATTGATTGTTATATGATTAAAATTAGTTTTTGGTTGTTTTATTAATTTAAAGTTAGAATTAAATTCACATTTCACACAACTATGATAGAACTCTAGTTTTCCTGAACTCAGTGGTAGTAATATGTCAGTAAAGTAAAGTCAACCTTTGCTAGCCATAGTATTAACAAGACATATTTTCAATCTGGGAAACCTTAAACTTTTAAAATAAATTATAAAACCTCAACATCTTAATGCGTGGGAATCTTATTTTTAGAAAAAAACAGACCAAAATTATTTGTTAAATAATGAAGACGGCCCAATTATAAATTCGGAATTACTGAAAATAATTACATCAAGAACAACACTGTCACATATCCAAAGTTCAAAAGATTAATTTTTCTAATATTATTTTTTATTTTTCCAATATCCTTTAAATCATCTGTTTTAACTTTGTTTAAAATTAATTTATTAAGTAAATATTTACTTTTTGTACAAGTGTAAACACAGCCTGAAGATGGAAACCAAGTTTCTGAAAGCACTAGTGAAAAAAACAAATTATTATATATTGGCCTTGTTGAACATTTAAATTTAGATATACATTTCATCAGTGGTAGTATTTTTTTTCTTCAGTTTGTTACCGGGACATTACAGGATATCCAGTGGATTTTGTACATGTCCCGGGATGTCATGGGACATTCTGGGATATCCTATGGCATTCGTACATATCCCGGGACTTTACCGGATATCCTGAGGTTAACTTACAAATCCCGGGACATTACGGTATATTGTAGGATATCCTGTGGATTTCGTACTCGTCCCAGGATTTTGCGGGATATCCTGAGGATAGCGTACATATCCCGAGACATTCTCAGGACATATGGGACTACTATGGGATGTCCCTGGGATAAAGTGTGCTGTCTGGGAAGGTGTTTAAGAGACCTGTGCACTGGTAGAATGTATTAATTTGATTTAAATTTAAAAAAAAAATTATAGAAGCCTGTCTTCTATGATTTCATTTGTGAATGTCTTTCAGGTTGAGGAGAATGGAAAAGGAGATAACTGAGAAAGAGCAAAAGTGGGCTGCAGTTAGGGAGAAACGTGCTAAAAAGAAAGCATCTGAAGAGAACATGACGAAAAAGCTATCCAAAAGGAAATTTGAAGAACCAGATTTACCATTTAGTAGACCTCATGAAATAACTGGAAATCTCCGCGCCTTGAAACCTGAGGGAAATATACTGGTTGATCGATACTACAGCATGCAGAAGCGAAATGTCCTAGAGGTCACTGCGAAACAACTCAAGTAAGTATTTATAATATTCTTGGTATTCCTTTCTACCACATTCTACACACACCCTTAAACTTGACTGGCTTAAAGTTCATGCAAACAAAATAGAACCCGTTTTTGTTTGCACAAGCACTAGCAAATCTGGACAGATCTAAACTCAAATAACTGTTTATATGTTTTAGGTTTAACGTTCTATTCACTGCTGATATATTCAGGCCCGGATTTCCCAATAGGCCCGGTAGGCCCAGGCCTATGGGCGCGAGCTCCCAGAGGGAGCAAGAACGAGAGGAATTTTTTTTTTTAATATCTAAAAATAAATAGTCGTAGTTGATAAAAAAAACTCTGGCTAATAAAGCAATCTGATTCAGAAGTTCGAAGAAATAATTGTTAGTAGATTTAAACTAGGGATGGACGGGATTCAATTTTTAGTTCGGGACGGGACGGGACAGGATTTTTATTTCCTTCCTGATTTTCGGGACGGGACGGGACGGGATTTTTTTCTGTGTATAAAAAGAAAGTCTTGAGTATTTCACTTACCAAAAAAGACATACAAAATCCATTTTTATCGTTTGTGGCACTGATCTATAAAAAAAAAACAAAAAATGGGTAACAATTTACAGGTACCTATAGAAACTTGTGACTCGCGGTCGAAATGACTGGCAGTCACGGTGTGATCTTAAAAATGACCGCGTTCACGGGGCGATCGTCGGTATGACTCGCGGTCACGGCATGATCGTCGGTATTACTCGCGATCACGGCACGATCGTCGGCATGACTCCGCGGTCACGGCGCGATCGTCGGTAGGACTCAGTTTTGCTTTGTAAATATAACCTAGATGCAGTACCACCAGGGAAGTTTAGTTCACGTTGGTGACACTGGACGTTAGTTTTGACATACTTTTGTTTCTATTATTTTAGGGTTAGTTCTAATGATGTGTGTCTTAATTTCTTGTAATATAACCAGGAGACGACCTATTGTTAATGATTATATTATTTTATTTTGGATAAACTAAGTTTAAATAAAAATAATTGTTTCCAGCTAATTCATAATGATGACAAATCTACTAAAGGAGTATGTTTAATCTATGGTATCACGTACTGTATGAAGTTAATGTATTTGGGCCTGGTATTGGAATCAATGGCCATGTTTTTTGCAGGAATTCTCTGTGGGTTGGAGTGTTTTGTTTTAGACCCACAAGCGTGAGCATTTACTAAAAGCATTAAATGAAACTTGCTAAAAGTGTTTAAGACGGCATTTTGTTAAGGCTAAATCAGTCAATTCTTCAAAAAACCTTTCAATGATAAAATTCCGACAAGGAGTGGTATTCAAGCAATTAACTTAGGCCTATGGGCATGATAACTGTGACCAGTCTAGGGGGCGGAAAATTATTCGGGCCTAGGGGTGCCAAAATGCTAAATCCGGCCCTGGATATATTAAACCTTAAAAGGAAAAGAAATTACAGTATAGTGTTTTTAACCCTTTTTATTGCATTATTAATTTATTTTTTCTGATGTTGCGTCCTTTTATGTCTTTATCATGAATGAACGGGGGAGCAAGCTGGTCTAGTGGTTAGAGCAAGGGACTTCGGTTTCTGAGGCAAAAAAAAAATAATTTCAAATCCCACCAAATCACCAATAGATTTGATCTAAGTGATAATGCCACAACCCCTAGGTCTAGCCTGAAGTAATGTGGAAAACAACTCGTGCCTAGCATCCTAAGAATGTATGAATGAGGGTGGTTTTTAAAGTAAGGGCCGTTTCTGCGTATAGCTCCGTAGATCATGTGTACGCTGCAACGAGGCTCCTCGCCGCTTACTTGCATAATTTGTGAACAGAATGACACAATTTACTGCTCTGTAGATAACGTGTTAATCACAAGCGTGTACGCTTTTCTGTGTGTTTTAAAAGTTTTAAATTATTGAATCTTCGCTGTGAGCGAGATAAGGTCAGTGAATTTTTTAATGAAGGTCATGGCTCTAATGTGATGACTGTGGGAAGGGTAAAGTGTGTGGAAATGGGTTAGGAGTGTAAAAAGGGCTGTGAAAACATTTTTCCTTAGTGGTCTTTTGGGAGAAGTCCGGTAAAGTGAAAAGTCAGTGGATTAGTTGAAAATTGTTTGGTTTACCTACTTCACTTTAGTTTTCAGTTAATAGGTTTAACTAATGAGAGTAAATTCAGTATCCACTTTCTTTCTTCATCAAGTTTACAATCTTACTGTTACAAATGAAACTGACAAAAAATTACTCAGTGAAAGTAGGCAATAACAATAATTTATTTGAACCATTTAACCTTTTTAGTGCTACAGAGTCACTGACAGCGCCATGCTGAAAAGTGCTAGGGTATTTTGACCAAATAAGCAAGCTCTTAGAAAAAAAAAAAATCATATCTCCCTAATTTCTTTATATATTTGAACCAAATCTTTTTTGTCTTTTAAACAAATAAATGCACTAAAAAGTAGTGATGGTCAAAACTAGAAATTTCGAATCTCGAATCCAAAACCTAAACTTAAAAAATCAAATCCCGAATCTCAAATCTCAAAACATGAACGCGAAACTATTTAGTTACCTGGTCAAGTTGATGAATACAGGTAATGATAGCATTTTCATTATGATTATGCGATCAAAACTGAAAGAGATTTGACTCCTGAACGACATATAATAACATAAATGTGACGGATAAACTTCTAACCCAAAATAACATATTTTTTTATAAACAACAAAGTTAACAATGCTAACAAATAAATGAAATTCTTGACATTGAAATAAACATGAATATTGGTAAATATTACTTTTGTTTAACAAATTTTGAAAATTGATATGAAAATGAAACTGAATTGTAAGCTGTTCCAGTATTTAAGATGCCTTTTGCAGTTCAGTTCAGAATACAATTGACTTGTTTCATTAGTATTAATGGAGATGACGTGTTTGCTCCATTGCTAACAGCTTGTGTGTAAACATCAGGGTCGTTATAAACAATAATAATTACACAAAAAATGTCAGCATTTAAAAAAATAAAAGTGCCAAAACTTCCAATTTCAAAACTTTTGAATCTCGAAACTCGCCTATCGAATCTCGAAACCAAAACTTTTCCAAAGTTTTGATGGTTTTGAGATTTGGCTTTGACACATCACTACTAAAAAGTAATGACCCAATTGTTAGATTTTAGGTAGCCTACACCAACAACATTTTTTTACAAATAAATGTTATCTTATTTTACAAATGAAATAAAAACTCGAGGATTTTTTTACAATGATTATATGGTAACCACTGTAAGTAGGATACTGTAGTGATCATTTTGATACAAAAATTATGCCATTACACGTCATACAATGTTTCTTATAATAGAAAACGTGTTATCACGATCCATTGTTTACACTCTCAAGGCTATGGAGAACATTCACCAACAATGCACTTTATATTGTATTTGTTTTGGTTTTATGAAAATGAATCACTTACAATAACTATATATGTAAAAACACTACACATACTAACTTTAGAAAACATAACTTAACTTTGTTTTAAACAAACAACAGCGCAAACGTAAAACATAATTCGTTGTCAGTCACTGCGCACAAAGAAACAAAGAATTAAAAAGTAAACAGCTGACCACTAGCGACAGTAATGGAGGGAAATGACCGACGATCGATAATTTGAAGCCTTTGGATCATACTGATGAATCAACCAGTCAATAAGTTCACGGCATCAATGCGTACTTTACGAAATAAGAATAGTCGCTCTAGTAGCACTTTAAGGTAAAAATACATCGTCGCGGTCAGCGACTTTGTAGCACTAGAAGGGTTAACATCTTCTTTAAAAGACAACACACAACTCTACTAACTTTTTCCTACAGTTACCTAACAATGTACATGTTCTCTCACTGATTTGAGAAAGCAAAGTGGCCAATTCGCTCATCAGTGAGACAATGTTAACATTGTCTCACTCTAATTACTTTGTCTCACTCCAGATTTGCAACGTGAAGGCACGAAATAGTGAGCGCGTAACATGCAGGCAACGTCGTATGCACGCAAAATACTTTGGCAGCACTGGCTATAAATCAGCTGGTCAGCTGTTGTACTGTTGTATTTGTCACTTCACATTAAATGTTATATTAAAAGTTCACTTCTGTGTAAAAATAGGTTATGTTTCTTCACAAATTTATTTGTTTTATGGTAACTGTAGGATACATCGTCGCGGTCAGCGACTTTGTAGCACTAGAAGGGTTAACATCTATATAATTAATACGCTACATGAAACTTTGTCGGTTGAACTCCTCCGCCATTTCTTAACCGATTTTAACCATTGACGTCTCATTGGAAAGAGCGTGTTGCGTAGATTTGCAAACTGGCCTTACATTTTTGAAAAAGTCCCTTGGGCTCTGCCCCAGTGGCTTTGAAAGTTCCCATGTTATCCTTATGAAGAACATAATTGTTTACATTTTGATCAGCTGTATAATTTAATAGCTGTTATTTATTTTTCAATTCAATGAAACGCATTAAGTATATTTATTTACTATTTGAGTTTGTGTTAACATAACCTTAAAGACGGATCGCGTTAGTATGGTTGTACCTTAAATTTGTGTAATTATCGTTGTTTTGTGTCGCTATGACGGATCGTGTTGGCATGATTGTAACTTAAATTTGTGCATTTATCGTTGTTTTGTGTAGTTATAATTTGTTTATTTGTTGTTTTTTTCTTTTAAATGCCTCCGACGCGACGACAACGAAACATAGCCAGGACTGACAGGAGGTGTAATCGTGATAACGACCGCAGCTACACATAGTGGCGCGTAAAATAGGCTTAACTTATCACAGTCAGCACCTGACCCTGGACAATCTCAACTATTAGGTTACAAATGCGCCCTAACACTACCCCAAAACGACTTTGCGTTCTCAATTGGCCCACTATTCGTTCTCAATTGACCTGTGTTGCCTGTACAGCGAGGCATTTTGAGAAGGAGAAAACCGGACGGAATGCTTTAGGTTTTTCAATAACGAAGATAAACATGGTCTGAGTTACACACCGCGGTAATATTTGAGTTGACTCTTTTAAACTCATTGTAAATATGACTGTTATTCATTTTGAAATAACTCCTGTAATACTTTGCAATTGCTCGAATTCGAGCAACATGTACACTCGTCTTCTTTAAAAGACAACACACAACTCTACTAACTTTTGTTTACATTTTTTCATTAAAATTAATAACAAGTGTTTTAATTATTAGTAGGCATTCTAATTCTAATTTGTTGATACAATTTGAAATGATTTAATAAAATTCAGATTTTTATCAATCTTATAGGCCTATGATCGTAAAACTGGCAAAGTATGCATGCTTAAGGCGATCGGCGGGTTTATCTGATACCTTAACTCAATATTTTCGGCACAACGACTTCATCTTTTATAGATAACATCATCAAGTGACCAATTTAGGTTTGTTCAACTGAAGAATTCGTTGGGCAATCGATTTTTTCGAGCTTCTGATGCAGAATTGTCGGATTTCTTCGACTATGTCATCGCTTGTTATTAGCCAGGTGAATGTCTTTTCAAACCAGCTTCAAGTTTCTTTATCATCAAGGAGATTTAAATTTAGTTTAATTTAGCAATAGATATAAACTATGCGAACCACAGATTGGAATTTGTGTCTTCTGTTGTGCCGTAAACCGTCGTGCTGGCGACTGGCGTCAAGCGCATGAGTCACAATAAAGGCCTACCACCGTACACCTGTTTTGCGCATGCAAAGGCCAAAGTTTCCTCCCTTGCTACAAGGGAAATAAAACTTAGTTATTTTAGCTTCAATTTGAAGTATAAAACGTTTAGTTACCTTAAAAAGTACACAAACAATTATCATTTAATATCCCGGCATTCTTTTAAAACACCCTTTAAATCAGTGGAAATAGGTTGATATTGTATGTAGTAAAAAAAACAAACCCCTTTAATACAATTAATAATTTTTTTTATTCAATCAATTATCATTGTATCCTGTTACGTAATTGACCCAATCTTATTCATCATCAGACTGAAGTTCTACTGCTTGCTAAGAGTTTCCGCGTTATTATTATTATGCTAGTTTATTATGGTAGTCTAGCAACAATGAAAATGTTCAGAACATTCTAATTTTTAAATTAAAATAATAAAATATTTTTTAAATAATTTTTTAAAAACTTTTTTATTGGAAATAAATGTTTTTTTTACGAATTTTCAAATGTATTTTCTGAATATTGCATTTTATGGCTAAACGGTTAATTGTATCGAAATATTCTAAATACGAAAGTTGTAGCTCTTTCTTTGGCGAACATGTTTCACATTTTATGTTTTTTTATACGATGAATAGTTTTTGGACGCCATTTTCCAAGATGGCGGCCGTAGCACAAGTTTTTTTTCGAGGACTTTTAGTATTTTATTCCGGAAGTAAAACTCAATATACGTACCTAGTTTTACACGTATAAGAGTTTTTTTAGGTAATTTCTCAAATATGACTAGACTAAATATAAAAACATTGACAACAGCTGGCAATTTAAAACCAGTAAGTTTAACCAACTCAGCATATATAACATCCTCCCACCCAAGTTAATTAACTTATGGTTGATTAACTTGTACTTTAGGTCGTGTACTTCTTCTTGTAACTACTTTTCTCTCTTCATTAGAGTATATTTCCAATGGTTATAAATGTTTTACTCGGCGAATCAATTCATTGTCCGGTGTCTTCAATATTACTGTGCGTACGATTCCATCTCTTCCTTTCATTACTTCAATGATTCTGGCAATCACCCAGTTTATCCGCTTGCCAAAATCATTACCATCAGTACTATTTCCCCCACTTCAGGTTCTCTGTAACTTTTGACATTATTATGGTGTAATAATTTACCAATATACTCGATTCTGAATCTTGGATTCAGCCCTTCTCTTATTTTCTTTCTGTATACAGCTTTCTTCGGTAAATTAATCTCCTCAATAGCGTCTAAATCGGGTTGTGTCACATCTCTTATATCTTTAAAAAACATTGATGGAGTGATGGGACTCAATTCATTCAGATCATCCGACATGTAAGTAAGCGGTCGAGCATTGATAACACTTTCACATTCGCATAATGTAGATGACATTTCTTTATAGTTCAAACTAGTTTTCTTCAAAACTCTCATTGGAGAATGTTGATTGTTTGACTCCCACCGTTTAACATGTGCTGAAGCACCAAATACGGGTCTCACTGGTGTAGTCGCACTGTCCTTGAGAAACTGTTCTATGTGGTATGAACTGCTTGATGTGATCTACCTCGTTACGGGGAACTGATTCAGTGATTCCTTCACTCTGCCGACTTCTAAAAACTTGTTGATACTTATTAAAATAACCATTATTTGTAGTCTTATCGGTTGTTGATTGAAGTTGTTTCTTTGAAAGTTCCAAGTTATTAGGATGTATGTTACAATCCTCAACCAAAGATAGGCACACTTCATTATGACCTTCTTTGTTATCACCTCACTCTTCACCGTATTCTTAAAATGTTCTAGTGTCATCTCATGTAACTCTTCTTTTGACTCCTGTTCAACGGGATCAGTAATACCAAGTGTCTCTAATTTCCAGAACATCGAAATATCCTCAGAAGGATCACTAAAAGAAAACATAGTAACACATGATGTATTGCATTCTATCTTACTGTTATCAGTTTCCACAACACTAGATAAGCGACCTATTAATGTCCAGCCTAGAAAAGTTTCCATTGCGACAAGTCCACTATTCAGCTGAACTTTGTTACCTGTGAACAACTTACCAGCAACATCTGCACCAATTAATACTTCAATTGTTACATCGGATCTAGCCACATCAGAAAGAACAATGTTAGCATCCTCCATTTCCTTAAGTTCTGGACCTCTCCTAATACTAGGGAGATTTTAACTCAAAAGAGGTTGATCTAGAACCTTGAACCATTGACTTTATATCTACACTAGACTTCCTATTAAAATTACTGTTAAAATTACTAAGAATCAATGTATTATTTTCATTGCTGTAACCTAATATTGACCCTGCAGTATCAAACAATTAGATGTCTATATAACAACTATGATCGTATGTTACTATTTGGTCACAGTAGTTACTGTGACAAAAATTATAATGGTCTTCATCATGTATGATTTATAATATATTCTTAATTTTTCCAGATGCCACAGAAGGAAAGTCAAGAAGTTTGTCAAACCAAGTCACAGAATTGAAGAATCACCAACGGTTACAAAATCAAAATAAATTGTTATTATTGATTTATTTATTTATTTAACCATAGTAACATTAGCTATCCAAATTTATTTAAAAAGTTATAAATAAATATTACAACATGAGAATAGCCTGAACCTTATGCTTGTAATTTGAGGTTCCAGAATTTTAAAAAATAAGTGGAGTTAGGGGGTTAAATTATACACACAAGTCATATGATTAAAAGTTTAATTTTTTGTTCATGCTAAAATTGCTAAGAAACAAAACCAGTTTTGTGGTGAAGCATGTATTTATGTCACATATTTACACCATTCATTTTATTTCAAATATAGCCAACTTAATTGGATAACTTGTTTAGTAATGCAATTAACAGAAAATCAATTAGACTAATTATACACCAATGATATTAAATCACTGTTTTGGAATTGCTAATAATTTAGATCTTTCATTGCAAATGGTTTCAAATCTCTAGAATCTAGAATTTCAAACTATTACCAAACCTAGTTTTTCCTTCAATACAATTGAATATAATGTTACCTATTTACTCTTGGACGATGATTTTAATGTTTCTGTACTTTCCCTAGGCAACAGTTCCTCGGAATCTCCAGTCTTGCACACTAATCCTAAATCCCCAGATTTATAAGCTGTTATTGTGTCACTTAATAAAATGGTTTCTCTCCTGAAACAAAGATAAAAATCATATTATTAATCTCTCCATTGGCTCTTGTCATTAGCCTTTTGATTTTATTGAGAAGGTGAGGAAGATGACAGGGGAGTTGGAATTGACGAGCTTCTGTAGAGGGAGAAGCGAAGTGATATTGTGTTGGTCAGTGTCTGAGTGCCCTCAAAGCTCTATACTCAATACTCATAGACTCTATCCTTTCTGTAGAGAGAGGAGCAGGAGAAGCGAAGTGATATTGTGTTGGTCAGTGTCTGAGCGCCCACAAAGCCCATTACTAATAGACCATATCCTAACTGTAGGGGGAGGAGCGGTAGAAGTTAAGTGATCTGCAATGTTACATGTCATATAGCCCATTCACTTCATTCATTCATTTTAGTTATATAATTCTACTTCTTTTATTGTACCAAAATTCGCCATATAGCCTATTTAAATAAATTGTCAGAAAATGTATAGTAAATTTAAATTATATTATCCTTTAATCACCCCTCAGAAACCATCACCACATTTTAAAATATATTGTATATATTCAACAAATATTATTGTTTATAAAAACCTGTAACCTGTAATTAAGTCCATAGTTGCAATAACACTTTTATTCAAAATTATTAATATAGTATAAATTATTTCTAAAACCCCAACATTAAATTAATATCCAAAAGCCTGATTATTAGTGCATGTGCAAGTGATGAAGAAAGAAGACAGCTGCTGGCTTCTACAATGAACTGATCAACATCCTGTGTGAAATGAAAAAAATTTCCTCCTTCTCTATTGGGACATGGCAGCATCAACACCTTAAATTCAGTGAGGGTATAATCCCTAACATTTAAACAGTCAAAGTGATTAAAATTATTTAACTTAACATTAACTTAACAACAGAAGAACAGTTTACCTTTTATATATACATTTTTTTTCATTTCAAATTTTTACTGCCACCTCAAGATTTATATAAATTGGACACTATTACTGAAGATCTGGTGAGAACTCTCCATTTTGTATAAGGCTTAGCCCAACTTCAAGAAATTCAACTTAATACAGACCTATTTTATTTACTTTCTGATCGAACCTAATTATTTGAATTCTAAAACTACTTTATTTTCATCAAGAATAATTCTAGAAAAACAATTTGAACAAGAGAACTAAATTCAACTTTGATAAATTTTCGCATTCTATTCATTGTTTGATTATTTAACTTACTTATCCAAGCCTAAGGGCAATATCAAAATTATCCAATTTTTCATAATGATTAACATATTTTATTTTATAAATTAAAATATTTGAAGATCTTTTTAGCCAGCCGAGTTCCCCTCCCTGAGATTTACGTAATTAAACTTAAAATATCTTATTGTAAACTCATTGTTCTGTTTTACTGAGCTAGGCTAACCAAGATGGCGACCCTGTATCTGTTCATTTAAATATCAAACCCCATTCATCATTGTAATATCCTAACTTAACTTATTCTTATTTCATTAAATTTGTATTGTAAAGAAATCCTTCCGCTTAATCATTTGTCTTTCTATAAGTATATTTAATCTAGGCTTAACTTAGCAGTAAGTAAAGGTACAAACCTGAACCAAATTTTATTAGTCCAAATTACAAGCACTACCGGTACTAATAACAAATTTTGTAAAACATATTCAACCAATTGGGTAGTGGTAAATCATCATTATAAACACAGAGTGTTTTCTTTTAGATCTTGTGTTGGTCAGTGTCTCAGGACCCACAAAGCCCATTACTAATATACCATATCGTAACTGTAGGGGGAGGAGCGGTAGAAGCTAAGTGATCTTGTGTTGGTCAGTGTCTCAGCGCCCACAAAGCCCATTACTAATATACCATATCGTAACTGTAGGGGGAGGAGCGGTAGAAGCTAAGTGATCTAGTGTTGGTCAGTGTCTCAGCGCCCACAAAGCCCAGCCACTATCCTTGCCGTAGGAGGAGAAGCTAAGTGATATTGTGTTGGTCAGTGTCTGAGTGCCCAAGAAGCCTATTACTAATAGACCATATCGTAACTGTAGGGGGAGGAGCGGTAGAAGCTAAGTGATCTTGTGTTGGTCAGTGTCTCAGCGCCCACAAAGCCCAGCCACTATCCTTGCTGTAGGAGGAGAAGCTAAGTGATATTGTGTTGGTCAGTGTCTGAGCGCCCAAGAAGCCTATTACTAATAAGACCATATCGTAACTGTAGGGGGAGGAGCGGTAGAAGCTAAGTGATCTTGTGTTGGTCAGTGTCTCAGCGCCCACAAAGCCCAGCCACTATCCTTGCTGTAGGAGGAGAAGCTAAGTGATATTGTGTTGGTCAGTGTCTGAGCGCCCAAGAAGCCTATTACTAATAAGACCATATCGTAACTGTAGGGGGAGGAGCGGTAGAAGCTAAGTGATCTTGTGTTGGTCAGTGTCTCAGCGCCCACAAAGCCCAGCCACTATCCTTGCTGTAGGAGGAGAAGCAATGTGATATTGTGTTGATCAGTGTATCAGTGCCCACAAAGTCCATTACTCATACACCCTATCCTTGATGTAGGGGGAGAAGCAATGTGATATTGTGTTTGTCAGTGTATCAGTGCCCACAAAGTCCATTACTCATACACCCTATCCTTGATGTAGGGGGAGAAGCAATGTGATATTGTGTTTGTCAGTGTATCAGTGCCCACAAAGTCCATTACTCATACACCCTATCCTTGATGTAGGGGGAGAAGCAATGTGATATTGTGTTTGTCAGTGTATCAGTGCCCACAAAGTCCATTACTCATACACCCTATCCTTGCTGTAGGGGGAGAAGCAATGTGATATTGTGTTGGTCAGTGTCTCAGTGCCCACAAAGCCCAGCCACTATCCTTGCCGTAGGAGGAGAAGCTAAGTGATATTGTGTTGGTCAGTGTCTCAGTGCCCAAGAAGCCTATTACTAATAGACCATATCGAACCTGTAGGTGGAGGAGCAGTAGAAGCTAAGTGATCTTGTGTTGGTCAGTGTCTCAGCGCCCACAAAGCCCAGCCACTATCCTTGCTGTAGGAGGAGAAGCTAAGTGATATTGTGTTGGTCAGTGTCTGAGCGCCCAAGAAGCCTATTACTAATAGACCATATCGTAACTGTAGGGGGAGGAGCGGTAGAAGCTAAGTGATCTTGTGTTGGTCAGTGTCTCAGCGCCCACAAAGCCCATTACTAATATACCATATCGTAACTGTAGGGGGAGGAGCGGTAGAAGCTAAGTGATCTTGTGTTGGTCAGTGTCTCAGCGCCCACGAAGCCCAGCCACTATCCTTGCCGTAGGAGGAGAAGCTAAGTGATATTGTGTTGGTCAGTGTCTGAGCGCCCAAGAAGCCTATTACTAATAGACCATATCGTAACTGTAGGGGGAGGAGCGGTAGAAGCTAAGTGATCTTGTGTTGGTCAGTGTCTCAGCGCCCACAAAGCCCAGCCACTATCCTTGCTGTAGGAGGAGAAGCAATGTGATATTGTGTTGGTCAGTGTCTGAGCGCCCACAAAGCCCAGCCACTATCCTTGCCGTAGGAGGAGAAGCTAAGTGATATTGTGTTAGTCAGTGTCTGAGCCCCCACGAAGCCTATTACTAATAGAGCATATCGTAACTGTAGGGGGAGGAGCGGTAGAAGCTAAGTGATCTTGTGTTGGTCAGTGTCTCAGCGCCCACAAAGCCCAGCCACCATCCTTGCTGTAGGAGGAGAAGCAATGTGATATTGTGTTGGTCAGTGTATCAGTGCCCACAAAGTCCATTACTCATACACCCTATCCTTGATGTAGGGGGAGAAGCAATGTGATATTGTGTTGGTCAGTGTCTCAGTGCCCACAAAGTCCATTACTCATACACCCTATCCTTGATGTAGGTGGAGAAGCAATGTGATATTGTGTTGGTTAGTGTCTCAGTGCCCACAAAGTCCATTACTCATTCACCCTATCCTTGATGTAGGTGGAGAAGCAATGTGATATTGTGTTTGTCAGTGTATCAGTGCCCACAAAGTCCATTACTCATACACCCTATCCATGATGTAGGTGGAGAAGCAATGTGATATTGTGTTTGTTAGTGTCTCAGTGCCCACAAAGTCCACTACTCATACACCCTATCCTTGATGTAGGTGGAGAAGCAATGTGATATTGTGTTGGTCAGTGTCTCAGTGCCCACAAAGTCCATTACTCATACACCCTATCCTATCTGTAGGGGGAAGGAGGGGGAGAAACAAAGTTATATTGTGTTGGCCAGTGTCTCAGTGCCCATAAATTCTATTACTTATGGACCCTATCCTAACTGTAGGGGGTGGAGCGGGAGAAGGGAAGTGATATTGTGTTATTCTTTGTCAGCGCTCACAAAGTCAATGACTCATGCACGCCATATCAGCTGGACGGCGATGCCATCAACAGCAAAATAAAAAAAAAAACACAAGGATGGATGAGCATATTCTACCTGGGGGAGCGTTGAGCAATGTTTTTGTTGCTATTTCAGAGCTTTTCGCTGGATGAGTTGATGGAGAGGCACCCCATTTATAGTATACTGAATATACATATGCATACTGAAAATAATCAGTAGCCCGAAGTGTACCACCGGTGGTACACGTCGGGATTTAGGGACTGATTAAAAATACGATACCAGATACAGTACTTAACCAAAAAGACGAAACTAAATTAACATGTAATATTAATAGGATTAAAAAAAAATCTTTTTATATTGTCTTGTTTGCACTAAAACTTTGTTATGAGTGTGAAATTACGTAGTTTTATGAGTGTACCACCGATGGCGCACGTCGACCGGTGCGTATTCGGGAGATCCTGCCAGTCGACGTGCGCCACACGCTCTACTTGCCGATGGCGCGGCAGGCGGAGAAGTGATGAATACCATACTGTTAGTTATTGGAACTGCCGCATGAGTGCAGCACTCAGCAGGTGGTTTATCAAATGTTCCCACCTTCTTTGGTCTGCCACTGTGTCAGTAAGGTGTTTTGCCTAGTTACAGTCTACAAAATGGATAGCTCTGGTATCAGGGGTGCCCAGAGAGGGGGGACCGTGGCGCGTTTGCGCCACAGGAATTTTTGGGGGGGGACTTCTTTAGGGAGAATTTAGGGGGGGGGGGGTATTTTTTTGTTAGCTGTCATAATGAATGTAGAATTTTGTATAATCAGACTGAAAAACTTTTTCTAAGTAGCTCACTATCACTATCAACACCAACAACATTCTGCCATTCGTAATTAAGATTGCTTCCAAGAATGGTAAAACGCACCTTATCAGACAATCCTTAATTATGTACTAGTGTCGACATTTTTTCTTCTGTGTTCGCTGACTTTTACTTGCTACATATGTTTTGGTGGTTCTTTAACTCCACCATCGTCAGTCTTAGGCCTTTAAAAAGATCCACTTCTGGAGGTGTCGTCAGAGTACGTTACAAACACAAAACGATTACAGATATGCCTATCAATGCACAAGAGTACATTGGCACGGGCAGGACTGGAAGTAAACTGAATCAGTTCAGCTTATGACTTATGACTTATGACTTATGATTCATAATTGAGTGTTTTGACTCAAAAATTGTGTGCTGTCACTAGTTTTATTTATTTATATACTGGTATTCCAAACTCTTCCAAAGTATTTAATAAATTTCTTTTCACGCAGTAATGTAGAATTTCGAGACCATCATTTATATCCAGCATAAAAATTGGTTATTGTCAATAGTTTTGAATGGAAAACTCAATTGTGAATCTCATTATATTTCCAACACTCTCCTCTGTCACTACAATTAATTAGTCCTGACATCTGTTAAAAACGCGGACGACAATCCAGAGACCACGTCGGTCTGTCATAACCTGATTCAGTAGTTTACTTCAGTCCTGCCCGCAGCAATGTCCTCGCATGAATAAAATTGATAGGCCTATCTGTAATCGTTTCGTGTTTTGTGTTAAATGTTTGTAACATATTCTGACGACACATCCAGAAGTCGATCCTTTTGTAAGTCTGACGATGGTGTATGTTACATATGGAAGTCTAAATATGTTAAAGAACCGCCAAAACATATGTAGCAAGTAAAATACGACACTACCGTACATATATTATTAAGGATTGTCTGACAAGATGCGTTTCTACCACTATTAGTCATAAAAGGCAATCCTGGGGCTATCAAAATGAATTATAAGATTACTTCGTCACAAAAACCTTTTGTGCTAGGCCTAGTGGCAATTAAGGTATTTTGTGTATTTTGCCCGGCGATTTTTGTAGAAGGCAGCCTGGGAGTGGCGAGCAACAAGTCTGCCCTATTTCGTGACTCTCTGCCTATAATTTTGAAACCAGATACTTTTTGTCAAAGTATTATTAATGCTCTTAAAGCTGTTTGAATTCTTAAGCCCTGTAAAAATTAACGCCACCTAATATATTGTACAGTTACAATACTGTGTTGGAGTAGAGTAATTCACCGAGTATTTTGAGCACATGTTGGCTGACAATACAGTTTCTGAATTGTAATTTGAAAAACTACAATTCAGGTTGCGCCTCTCGGTTTGGGGGGGATGGGCACCTCTGTCTGGTATTGATCGTGCTATTGATGATGTAAGTGACTTGTCCAATTTTTCAGTGTCGGGAAGTGAATATGTTCCATCTGATAATCACAGTGACAGTGACACTGATGTTATAAGTGTAGGCCTAAGTGATGAGTCTGTGGAAAGTGACATTGGACATTGGAATCATAACCAAGTTGAGGAGGAAGCAGGTAGCACGGAAAGAGAAGTCAAAGTCGATCCCGTACAAGCAGTGGTGAGTGATATTCACAATGATTTTGTGCGAAATTTGCTTGAATGGACTGAGTTCAAACAATCTTGTAGGCAATATCCATTCACTGCAGAATCAGGGTTAACACGTGATTGTCAAACTGATGAACCATTCAAACTATTTTCTCAGTTCATTGATGACGAAGTACTGAACCTCATTGTTACTGAGACCAATAGGTATGCTCACCAGTATTTAAGTAAAAAAGTCCCAAAAAGCGATCACCTATGAAAAAATGGGTGGACTGCACAACAGACGAAACCAAAAAACTTCTTGGTATTTTAATGATTATGGGCATTTGTCCAATGCCGCAACGTAAAATGTATTGGTCTAAAAATCCTATGTATGGAAACCAGGTTATAAAAAAACCATGACCAGAGATCGGTTTGATTGTCTAATGAAATGTCTTCACTTCCACAACAACGAAGCGCCCGATTCAAGTGAGCCTCGGCTAGCCAGAATAAAAAACTTGGGTACCCTACTGAACATGAAGTTCAGGGAAATCCTCGTACCAGATGAAAATCTTGTTATTGACGAATCAATGGTTCCGTGGCGAGGAAGGCTCATATTCAGGCAATATTTGCCAGGAAAATCACATGTGAAGCTGTACAAACTGTGCTCGACAAACGGTTACACTTTCAAAATTAAAGTATATGCTGGAAAGTCTGATATTCTTGCCAATGAGGGCCATGCTGGAAAATGAATTGAAAGCTGGCCATACCTTGTATGCCGATAATTTTTACAATTCTGTAAAACTTGCCAGTTTGCTGCTACAGAACAAAACCTACCTGTGCGGCAAGCTCCGTGTGGACCGAAAAGAAAACCCCAAGGTCGTCGTGAATGAGAAGTTATCTAAAGGGGAAATGATTGCCAAAGAAAACACCTCTGGAGTTAAGTGTATGAAGTGGAGGGACAAGAGAGTGGTCATGATGATTTCCACGAGACCCGAAGATACAGACACTCTTGTCAAGTCTACTAAGCGAAATAAAAAAGGAGAGATTATTATGAAACCAACGTCAGTCTTAGCCTACAATCAGGCAAAAAAGGGGGTTGACTTCTCAGACCAGATGGCGTCCTACTACACTCCCTTACGAAAATCCCTTGCTTGGTACAAAAAGGTAGCCTTGGAGATACTACTTGGCACAAGTGTTGTTAATGCCTTTGTGGTATCTAACCAGTTTGGTAGCAAGAAAAAAGACATGCTGTGGTTCAGAGAGAAGATCATTGAGGAACTGCTGACTCTTGAGTCTGCTGAAGAAGAGGGAATGGCTTCAGACGTGGGGACACCAGGAGCTGGACGGGCAAACTCTAGGAAACGTAAGCACGAGTTGACCAAGCTGGAGGGACCTGTCTGAAAAAATAGGAAAAGATGTGTATTTTGCTACAAGGACATGGCAAAAGAAAAAGGTACCGAAAAAGCTAGGAAGCTAGCAAAAAGAGTAGTAACTTTCTGCAATGAATGCGAAGGAAACCCATTTATGTGTATACAATGTTTTAATAAGAACCACTAAGGACTAAAGACATGGACTTAACGTGTTTCAAATTATGTAAATCAATTATTAGGGATGTTACATTCATGGCATTTTTATTTTCTTATTGTAACTCATAATAATAAACAAGCAACCTTTTTATAATAACTACATTACAAAACAATATTTTACATTTCTACACAATTTTGATAACACTGAAGCATTTTTGTATTCAATAAAACTTGTTCTCATTAAATTAATTTGTTATTTATTTACCCTATTAAACATTAGGTATAATATAAGGTAAAAATGTAATTGTAAGAAAGTTCTAAAAAACGGGACCATTTTTCAAAGTGTGGTTTGGTAAAAAAAAAATTGCACGTGCGCCACAGGTGGCCACAATGTGTTTTTATAAACTTAAACTACGAATACACAGTTTATATAACTCAGAAAAGCTCCGAACGCACTTCTAAAAATCATCAAATCAAATGGAAACAGTGCGCCACCGGTGGCACACGTCGGAGTTTTGGAAAGTTGGCCGTGCGCCACCGGTGGCACATGTCGGAGCTATGGTAAGTTCAAAAACTGACAACTAATTTCCGTCGGGCTGAACGTGTTAAGTACTACCTTATAAATTGCAGAGCATTCTTTTTGTGATGTCAAAAGAGCAGCAAAATCAGAGATGTAAAAACGCTCTAGTTTTTATGTTTGTAGTAATGAATGTGTAAAGGCAATCCTTTATTTTTTTATATGCCCTTATATTTTTTTATTAAGATTTAGGCCCCCTAAAATCTTATCAACCCAAGGAATATTTCCAATCCTCAAAGCAGCTCTGGCTGGAAGTTCCAATCGTATGGTTACATGGTTGGTAGATTGTTATCAGCCATAATAACTTTATTAAATTTTTACGACCTTAATTACCTCTGGCAGCTAGCTGAAAAGACCATGCAACAGGTACCTTAACTTGTTACTGGTACTAACAGTTGCAACAACACTTGATATGGACTGGAGGAGTGTATTATAGCTCCCACTTGTAACAATCACATCACTTACGAGGGTATACTTTTGGGGGAATCCAGTTTCTTGAGAGTAGTCTCGCCAAACAGCTCCAGCAGAGTTGTAAGTAGTGATTCTCTTTGTATAAGGTTGTATGATTCATCTTCGTTTGGGTCGTCTTGAACCTGAAATTGCTGAGCTATTAATTCAATGCTGTATTTAATCGAACAATTTTTACTTTAGTCTCATCCGTGGCAATTACGGTTCTTACATGACCTTTGAGTAATATTACTCTTAATCACATGGTGTTCAAAATCTATTTACTAAACTACAATTTTCAACAACCTTTTCTTTTAACACTTACAACGAAACATCAGTTAAATTGACCGATGGGTAATTTTGCGCTGTAATAGTGGCTAAATTGCTTGACCCTGAGAGCTATTGCGCCCTTACCTTCCTCCCCTACCCTATTCTGTCCCTCAAGGCCACTTACACCCAGTTTTCGCGCGTGCGTTGTATGGAACAGGCGTTTTGTGTGAATACGGTCAGTCAGGTTTACCGTGTGTTTCACTTACCGGCTGGCAACTGTCGGTCAGATCTACCGCGTGTTTTGCTTACCGGCTAGCAACGATGGGTAAAATATACCTTGTGTTTTGTCTACAGGCTAATGTGAAATTGGTTCAGTTTTGCTGTTTTTGTAAAAAACTAAACACCTAGTGATACAAAATGGCTAGATGGTGATCCTAGCCGAGGTGTAAGACCTGGTGATCCAGATTTTAGTGATCAGATACTAAGATTGATGGCAGACGACAGTGAAGATAATAGTGACTTTAGTGAAGTTGATGATTCGGATGCTGATCCGTACTATGTTTTGTCAGACGAAGGGAACCGGCAAGTTTCCAGTTTATCAGAAGATGAGGATGATGCCAGCCTGCTCGATCTTGAAAATAATGCTGAGAACATTATCAATGCAGTTGCTGAAGGTGTCGATCTTCCTGAGTATTTTTTGGAACGTCTGGGGAAGAAGGAATTCGGACCACCAAACGCATGAAAAAGTAAACCACGCCCAACAAACGTAAGAACTCCTGCTAGAAATATAATTACAACTAGATTACAAGCAATGAAACTACCAGCTAGGGCGTTGGGCAACAATCCGTATAAGCGTGAAGTTTGGAGTTTGGAGTCTTTTTTTTACGATGAAATCATTTCAAGTATAGTTAGAAGCACTAACATAAAGTTAGCCAGTATAAGGCTACGTCTGTCAGCTAATACCAATAGAAGTAACTACCGGGATACCAATATTGAAGAGATGAATGCCCTGATTGGCCTATTGTTACTATGGTAAATTCTTAAATCAAATGACGAGAAAATGAAATCCCTATTCACGAAAGATGAGTTCAGCCGACCCATATTTCGGGCATCCATGTCTTAAAAACGCTACAGAGATACTAATTGGGTCATTACGATTTGACGATGCACAGTCTCGTGAAGAAAGAAAGAAGGAAGGAAGATATCTGCTGCCAGGCAGGCAGTCTATAGTCCACCTGAGTTTGTTAGGATGCATTGCACAACGTCCAATAATATTATTCAGTGCCACAACGTCCAAAACATAATTTTTGAGTTGTTGCACGACGTCCAAAAGTACACTGTAACTGCCAAAAATATAGTCTTTCTACAAGCTTTGGACGTCGTGAAACAGTGCACTATTTAATTGCAAAAAAATATCATTTGCACCACGTCCAAAGCCTCTGCCAGTTGCACGACGTCCAAGTGCACGACATCCAAAGTGCCTGCACACTGTGAACACTGTTTGCCAACCTCAGTGCATACAATTTGCATTGCAATTATTGAAGGCAACTAGGCCTAGTCTAACAACTGTTTCAAGTTGTCAACCGCTTCATCTTCGATTAATGTTTAAATTATTCAATATTCAATGGTTCTAATTGTACTAATTATTGCATTAGCTTAAAATTTTTTCATATGTAAAATAAATTATAAGTCACCATAAAATGGAATGATGCAGTATTTCCGTTGTTATGATTGCATAATTGATTTCTACAAAATAGAGATACATCATAGAAACTAAAGAAATAAATGACTACACTATTCCATAATACAATAATTAAGTCACTAGCCCAAAAGTAAATATGGTAGGTTTAATGTGACTAGAAGTAGAATTCTAAGTACTGCAGTAAAATAGAGATTAATTGTCGTACAATATCAATTGGTAGCAAACTTACTTGTAAGATAAATTTATGCACAGTTTTATTACCGTATAGCTGTAAGACTTCGGTATCATTAAATATCATAGTATTAAAGTACCGGTATCATTGAAATTGTATAACTTCCATTAAACAGAAATGAGATAAGTAGATTTTGATACACAGATATATGAATTTTCATACACTTATAATATGACGAATTCAAAAAAAGTTTATCCGTCAAATGTGCTAAAAATTATGTGAACTATCACTCATCAACTTTGTAAGCTATAATGGTGTTACTACTATGGTTAAAATGTTTTACCTGTGATTTTTTTATCTAAAAGAAAATTTTCTTATGAAAAATAATTTCACTATTTTACGAGATCAATGTTTGACAACAAATGGTTGAAGCAGATCTTCAGAGACTGTCTCCAGCTGATGCAGTAATAAAAACGTATCTCCTACTAGCCATAGCACAGACAATGTACAATCATAGATGAAGTAAAATAAAGAAATAGGCAGCCATATGGAGTTTAGCGTGGGAAGTTTTTAGCCTAGTAGTGTGCTGCTCCTAGTGGCAATATCGAGCCCTAAAAATCTGCGTTAGGTACCAACGGAAGTGCAAACAATAGCATTGTTTCCCATTGTACATGTCCAACGCAACTTCGAGCAACGATATCATAGTTGACTTCGAGCGCCCAGTTGCCGGTTCATGGATTTACTGTGTCTGCTGCTTGATTTTTTAACCTCGCAGAGGCGAAGTGTGAGAGTTAGCGTACCTAATAAATGCAATTTAATACCTTTACTAGTGGATATTATGTGAATGAAGTATTATATTCATATTAGGCCTAATTTAACTGATTTAGTTTGCAATATTCGTAGTATGCATGATGACCTTAACACATTTATTTAGCTGATATAAAAGGTTAACTACATACAATTTAATAGATTTACTGTTATACTTCAACATTTAATTATTTATTTACTTCATTGAAACGCAAAAAAATTTGCTTACATTTGTTTACTTTTCTAGTTAAAAATTCAGAATGCCCAGCTGTTTTATTTTCATTTCAACCTCAACACATCTAGATTTTTAGCGAATTACCCTATAGGAAAGTAGCTATTACCGTGGCACGGTAAGACCTAGGCCTGGGACCGATTTAATTTTTCATTTTGATGTCCACAGATGCTAAAAACATTATTGGTTAAAATTATTATGTATATGTGTGTCCGTGAACACGATAACGCGATTAATTTTGGTCCGATTTTCATGAAATTTGGGTTGAAGGATCAGGTCGTGAGAAACTTAAATGAGTTTCAATTCCAAAAATTGTAAATTTAGAATTCCCATGCCATTCTTATGAAAATTAAGTAAACTGTTGTAGTTTGCTTGCTTATGGATATATGTTGTCCATATATATAAATTTGGTTAATTTATTTATTTCACCCAAAACTAAACATATTTGTCCCCATAGCAGCAAACCTAATTACTGGTTAAATCATAAGTCTAATGTTATTCGAACTGGGAAATAAATTTGTTTTGTTTATGGAAATATTTTAGTAGGAATCCAATTAGGGAAATTGGAATTTTGCTTCGTCAGCAGGTTTGCTGTGCATATTTTAACACAAACATGAATTTAGAGTTAAATTAGAAACGTTTTGATTTTGAAATATATGAATCAACATGACTAAAAATCTGAGACAGTCAATTGTTTTTAAAACTGAAGGAATGTCACCACCCACCAGCCGAGACATTCCTTATCATTGAATAGGTAAACTAAAACAAAACTAATTAAACATAAGTAACATTGTGGTTACGCACACTATATCGGGGTTTTAAAACTATTAACAATATGTGTTTGTACGTGGTTTTGAATTAAAGGGACACTAGGTGTATAATACAAGTGCAGAGTGTCAATAAATTTGGCACCCAGGATGGGCACATACCCTTCATCGTGGAATGGCCTCTGGATCGTTTGAATTAACAATATAGTGGTTTAAATTACCTTGTTACTGTCAAAAGTACTGTACAAAGGATCGTTTTGACAGTAACAAGGTAATTTAAACCACTATATAGCACATATCTTTGTAATCTAGGTAGGCCTACCCCTACTGGTAGTGAAGAACACAGGCAGAGTGGCAGTGAATGTGATGAAGAAGGTTTTACTCATGTTGTTCATCATCGTAGTCCTATACAATCTCGCCCTAAAATAGCGAAAGGTCCAAAGATCACTTACAGCAATAAATTGGTTGTTAGGAATGGTAATGGCAATGGTATCTTCCAAGCTGTTAGTAAAAAATCGTGGATCTATGTTACAAGATTTCAAGTAGCGACCAGTGAAAGTGATGTGAAAGGCTATGTCGAGAACAAAAGAATGTGAGTTCATAAAGATTGGGGTTCTTTGTATTTTACTCGGGTTCGGTAAATTTTACTTGAGCAACACTCTTGTCGTTCCAGAAACATTTCCCAACAACAATGTTGAAGTGTAGTGTTAAGAGTGGACTCATTGATTTAACCTCGAAAGAAATTTAGGGAGGATGGCCTTTGTTGAACCGTGATAACCCATGCCTCATCCATTATCAGTTTATTTTAAGTTTTTTTTTTTTTTTGGTGCGATTGAAACTAGTGAAAACTGTTTTGTGGATTTCAAAAGACCTTAGAATACCCAAGCCAAAACACTCACAGTGCTCATCGTACCAGATAAGCTAAAACAAGTTCAACACATGTAATTGCTGTATCAACAACTTAAAACATCTATATAAATAAAATTAAGAGTTTTGTCTGTACATTGCTCAGAATCATAAATTGTTAGGTTATTCTTACGTTTTATACATTAAAGAAGCCGAAACAAGTCTCATCTAAATTTCTGTCTGTCTGTCTGTCTGTAAAACTCAAGATGGCATTTTACGCAATCTTCTCCAGGAAAACGAGAGTAGGTACCTATCAAGATCCAAGTCATTTTAATTATTCACTGGATTGG